CTATAGACCTGTACGCATGAGTGAGAATACAGCAGTGACGTTGGCTACTGACAGCTGAAGCACCAGGAGTAGAAGAAGACCCCTCAGAAGAGGTAGGTACAGGTTCATGTAAGTTAAACTCATATTTGCCAGTCAAATTAGCAAAGTTCACCGATGGTGACATTGCTGCTTTAAGGCAGAGACATACTTTTCAGGTACTTTTCAGACATAGAAACATAGAATGCAACAGCAGATAAGAACCATTTGGCCCATCTAGTCTGCCCAATTTTCAAAATACTTTGAACTGGCTTTATCTTAAAGGGACACTCCAGGCACCCAGACCACTTCTGCCCATTGGAGTGGTCTGGGAGCTAACTCCCACCACCCTTAACCCTGCAAGTGTAATTATTGCAGTTTTTATAAACTGCAATAATTACCTTGCAGAGTTAAGTCCTCCTCTAGTCTATCAGACAGCCACTAGAGGGACTTCCGTGTTCTTAGAACACGAAAAGTGTTTTAAGCGACACTGGACGTCCTCACGCTATGCATGAGTACCTCCAGCTTCGCCAGGAATCCCCATAGGAAAGCACTAAATAATGAGCATGCGCATTAGGTCCCCCCCGTTGGCTGACGGCGGCAGGGGAGGAGCGTGGACAGGCCCTGACCCAGTGCCAAAGGACATCGGCACTGGATTCAGGTAAGTCACTGATGGGGTTTTAACCCCTTTAGCAACAGGGGTAATACTTCCTGAAATTATTTTTAAACCTTTGCTCCTCTAATTTAAGTCTATGTCCTTTTGTTAAATCCCTTTCCTCAGATGTTGAGGTTAGTAGGGTATCAAATATTCTATACTCTGCCTTGGGGTTTTTATGCCCAAGATGCATTATTTTGCACTTATCCATAGTGATGTCCCGAACGGTTCGCCAGCGAATAGTTCCTGGCGAACATCGCTTGTTCGCGTTCACCACGGATGGCGAACATATGCGCTGTTCGGACCGCCACCTATTCGTCATCATTGAGTAAACTTTGACCCTGTACCTCACAGTCAGCAGACACAGTCCAGCCAATCAGCAGCAGACCCTCCCTCCCAGACCCTTCCACCTCCTGGACAGCATCCATTTTACATTCATTGTGAAGCTGCATTCTTAGTGAGAGGAGGGGCAGTGTAGCTGCTGCTGATTTGATAGGGAAATTGATAGCTAGGCTAGTGTATTCAGTGTCCACTACAGTCCTGAAGGACTCATCTGATCTCTCTGACCTCACTACGCCCCACACCCTCAGCCTCACTACCCCCCACACCCTCAGCCTCACTACCCCCCAAACCCTCAGCATCACCACCCCCACACCACCCTCAGCCTCA